TTTTTTTTCAGTCATTGATTATTCAGTTTTTTTTTGATAGATCTGTGTAAGTTGATTCAAAAATAAAACCAAATCGTAAAACGCTAATTTTGTGAAAATATATTAAGAATTTGTAGATCTATTATAACATATGTATATTAAAAATATAATAATTTGGAACATGATTTTTTTGATTAAAAATAGTTACGTAACTGTTTTAAGTAACTATTTGAGATTTAAATATAAATTGTTTATATTCCAAATTTAATGGTTTACATGTGTTGCGTAACTTTTCTTTTGATTTTAAGGATTCAATTCTTATAAGTCTATTATTGACAATTTTATGGGTCATGATTTTTTTAATTAAAAATAGTTACGTAACTGTTTAAAGTAACTATTTGGGATTCAAAATATATACAGTTCATATTCAAAATTTAATGGGTTTAACTGTGTTGCGTAACTATTCNTTCGTTAACGGGCCTAGCTATGGGCATAGGTTAGAGGTGGTAGTGGAGATGGAGGAGAAACGAAAGAAATGATTAATTTCCAAAAAAAAAAAAGAATGGTTGGACAATAAATAAGTAGAGACATCACATTGGAAAGTTCTTNCTTCCGATTTTAAGGATTCATTTCTTATAAGTCTGTTATTGGGAACTTTATGGTTCATGATTTTTTTGATTAAAAATAGTTACGTAAACTGTTTTAAGTAACTATTTTGAATTCAAATATAGACAGTTCATATTCAAAACTGCAGTTTGTGGTAATTCTTGTACTATTTACTATGTTATAACTTTATGGTGTANCCTTTACCTTCTTGGGGTTAAGGTCGATATTCAAATTTATCAAAAATGTCTACGTCAGCGAATTTTGCAAGTTGAGAAACAAATGGGAGCATTTAACTATTCAATTCCTCCTTTTTCTCTACTTCCCACTCTATTACCTTTTTAGGTAGTAGCATGAAGATTTCGTTTGTTCACACAAAACCGAACTTTAAGCTCCTGGCGCCTTACTTGACTAATGGCTTTAGCTTTTCCCAATTCTATGAGGGTGGATCGGGAAAGCCTCAATCGAAACCGAAACATCGATTCATTGGTCATTGTCTTCTAGTAAAAGACAGATTTTGAACCCGCCAACATAATCTTAAGAGAAGGATTATCTTTTGGTTTTAATATCCTATGTTATTTTTTCTCATATGAGCTAAGTTGTATTCTTGTAGCGAACTACGGAATGAGAAGCGTAGGGGGATCAAATAGAATAGATAACTCTTCATACTATTCCATTACGTGCTTCTTCTTTCAAGAGTTAAGCTAGTAGACTAAAATCACTTATAGCGTCTCGTATGGGACATATCTAGTCTTTCCTCGCGACGCTCATGGGTCAGTCATATGGCAATTAGGGCAGACATAAGAGGTATATTAATCCAAGAGTGCAGTCCACAGAATAATGGTCTGAGTTTGGTTTTGCCCAGTATTTAGTGCCCAACCGCGAATAAAGGGATCCCATGTTGATATAATTAAAAGTTGTTGGAATTGTCTCTTAAGCAATTATTTGTTTGTCATTAATTGTGATGATGGCACCGGTGTCAACAAAGAACGTTTAGGATGAGCGTTTTTGTCAACCGATGACATCAATCTTCTAAATTTGTCAAAAAAATGCCAATCGATAAAATTTCTGAATGAAAGATTCAATTTTTTTTGTTCAACTTACCAAGAGAAGGGGAAGACTTCAAATCATGCATAAGTAATCACTATTGTCGTACTTTCTAACAAATATTATATTTTAAATGCTAGTGAATTCACGAGATTCACCATAAACATTGAAATTATACTTGATCGCGACATAATATGGCAATTACATCAAATAATAATCCTTGCACTATGATTTAGATGCTTATGAAATCCACATGAAATGGACTTTGAGATTGGAATTTTGAACTACAAATCAATCAAATCGTTCATGGTCTCGTTTTGTTAGCACTTGTTGGCCATTGACTTGGTTGACATGCCTTTGTTTAAGTCGAGTAGAGTTCGAGTCTTAATAAAAATCAAGTGAGAAAAGCTTGTCACATTGTTTGAAGCTCACTAAGAATATGAGTTGATCCTGAATATATTTCAAAAATAGATGAATCAAGTTTGAACAACTCAATATTCGGTTTGGCTCGATTCATTAGCAGGACTTGAAATTATACTAGCTGTTAGAATATAAAGATCACACAAAATAATATTTTAATGGAATATATCACCCTCTATGAGTAAAAACATTGTGAAAACCATTCTCCTGCAATGGTTGTGTTTGGATGGTGGGAAAAGATGGTATTAGATTGCATTTCTCGTTTCCAAACCCAACCGATTAGAATGGTTTATGAAATTCATGGTCTCCTTTTTCTGAACCCCATGTTTGATAAACATACATAAGTAGAAGTAAGGTCCACAATCTTTCTATCAAATACACCAATCTTCCATCCAGCCTATCCATCTTTGAAGGAGCCCATTGTATAAATAGATGAATGAATTGAAGGATAGGATTGTTTTTTGGGTGATTTAGAAGTCGGTACAATTTTTTAGACTTATTTAGGTAAAAGTACAACACAAAAATTTATTTGGAGTAAAGTACATATTTTTAAAAAATAACACTATTGCCATTCAGTTAAGTGCAGATGGGTTGAAACTATTTGAATTCCTACCAAAAATTTTGGCTACAATCAAGTAATGGGAGTTAAAAAATAGGAGCTAAAAAATAGGACTTTAATTATCTAATCCCTTCTTCTTCGGCAAAAGGGATTCTATGGCCATGGGAATGTCATAGCCTTTTTTTTTTTTGGCTAAAATCAAATGAGAGGTAAAATAGGGAGTTTAATTATCAAAACTTATCTTCTTCGGTGGAGGGATTCAAAATATAACCATATGGAAATGCCATATCTGTGTTTTTTTTTTTTTCAGTCATTGATTATTCAGTTTTTTTTTGATAGATCTGTGTAAGTTGATTCAAAAATAAAACCAAATCGTAAAACGCTAATTTTGTGAAAATATATTAAGAATTTGTAGATCTATTATAACATATGTATATTAAAAATATAATAATTTGGAACATGATTTTTTTGATTAAAAATAGTTACGTAACTGTTTTAAGTAACTATTTGAGATTTAAATATAAATTGTTTATATTCCAAATTTAATGGTTTACATGTGTTGCGTAACTTTTCTTTTGATTTTAAGGATTCAATTCTTATAAGTCTATTATTGACAATTTTATGGGTCATGATTTTTTTAATTAAAAATAGTTACGTAACTGTTTAAAGTAACTATTTGGGATTCAAAATATATACAGTTCATATTCAAAATTTAATGGGTTTAACTGTGTTGCGTAACTATTCTTCCGATTTTAAGGATTCATTTCTTATAAGTCTGTTATTGGGAACTTTATGGTTCATGATTTTTTTGATTAAAAATAGTTACGTAAACTGTTTTAAGTAACTATTTTGAATTCAAATATAGACAGTTCATATTCAAAACTGCAGTTTGTGGTAATTCTTGTACTATTTACTATGTTATAACTTTATGGTGTAACTGTTTTTGGTAATTATTTACAGTATAAGTTAATTGGGATTTTCATGATTTCATGCAGCAAGTTGAAGTGCAACGAGACATCTCATCCGATGAAAACATCCATCCATTCCTAATTAACTTTGTGAAGTGCAACGGGACATCACTTCATTCCTGATGAAGACATTAATAAAAAAATGAATGAAATTGTATCAATTCAAAAGGAAAAGAAAAAAATAATTACACAAAACAACATAAAAAAACATTAATACAAATGACTGAATTAATTAATCACACATTGGAAGAAAAACATAAACACAAAATAATTACAATATACATTATCAACCAAAAATAGACATTGGTTGAAAACTTTCATTCAAGAACAGTTATACTAAAATACAACTCTAATTTTTTCAACACAGTTACACAACAGTTACTATTTATATGAAAAACAATTACATCCATTAAAAATAGCTACACCCATTAAAAACCAAAATTGTCTTTTTTTTCAGCACAGTTACACAACAGTTACTGTCTATACAAAAAATAGTTACACCAATTAAAAACTAAAACAGTCTTTTTTTTTTTTCAACATATTTACACAACAGTTACTGTATATACGAAAAATAGTTACATCCATTAAAAATCATAGCAGTTTTTTTTCCCCTTCATCCCAACAACGAACAACTTGACCAAAAAAAAACAATATAAAACAAAAAATAATAAACCCAAAAACAAATTTTTTATCCCCTTCATTCCAACAACGACCAAACATACACAAAATCGAACATATAATTTCCCAAAAAAAAATGATCTAATTGCAGAAGAAATATAATTATTTTGTCTATACTAAAAATAGTCACACGCATAAGAAACAGTTACACCCATTTAAGATCAAAACAATTTTTCCCCCTATTTCAAGAAGAAACGAACATAAAACAAAAATCGAACATAGAAAATTCCCAAAAAGAAATGACCAAAAAAAGAAGAAATATAATTATGAATAACTCACCTTCAATCCGATGACGATGATTGGTATTTGTAATTCCTTTTTTAAAGAAAACCACCATCGAAGAAATAAATCGTCGTTGAAGAAGACTTAATAGTTGAACACGTTGAAGAAAACTTATCAGTTGAACACATACGTTTGATTCAAAAAAAATAAAAACAACAAATATGTAAAGATTACATATTTGTTTCTTAAAATAACTGTCAATAGATGCATAAATCTCTCAAAAAATTGTTCATTCAAAATTTAAAAATTAAAAAATATAACAAATATGTAATCTTTACATATTTATTTTCTAAAATAACTGTCAATCATGCTGCATAAAATAAGGAAGGGTGTTTAAGTAAAAAAGATTTTAATTCATTTGAATTTTGTACCTAAACATAAAAAATTTTATAAAAATTATACTTGAATAAACCACTTCCCCATACACTTGTACTTAAATAAGTATTGAAAATTGTATNCCGTAGGCCTGTAAGTGTTCAAAATCATAATTCTAGTGCTAAACAGAAGGGAACGTATGATGGCAGTGTCAGTAGTAAGAAAGACAATGCCTTGAATGATTTGGTTAGAGATGGAGATAGTTGTGAAAGGGCAAAAAAAAATGTGACAGAGTATTCAAAAACTTCTGTCAGTTCTATACCGAAAACAGCACACTCAATCAAGTTCTCACATGCTTCTGTATCTAAGAAAACCTTGTCTGATTCAAAGCATCCTTTGGTTTCTTCATCTTCTAAAGCATCATCAGCCCAGAACATTGCAGCTGCTCCGGACTATCGAGAGTTGGGCTGTTCATCGCAAACTGATAGTGCTTCGCATGTACAAAATAAGAGTACAGCCTCAAATTTACCCCACAGAGGTGAAAAAACTAACCAGTTAAATTGCCAGCCATCATCCAAGATGAACCATGCAGCACCAATGCACCCGCCTGCTCCTTCAAACTCCCCTGCTACACTGAGCGATGAAGAGGTGGGACTGAACTAGCATTTTAATAATGAATGACTTTTTCACATCCCATCACCAGTTTTTAACTTTGTGGAGTTTAATGCAGCTTGCTCTACTTTTGCATCAAGAACTTAACAGTTCTCCAAGAGTTCCTCGAGTGCCACGCATGCGTCAAGCTGGTAGCTTACCTCAATTAACTTCTCCAACTGCTACGAGCATGCTAATGAAGCGGACATCTAGTTCTGGAGCAAAAGATCACGGTTTGGTAAGCTGCCTTGGGTTCTTATGTTTTGTAGCCCTTGGAAATGTAGGCTGTGTGCTATATCTTGACCCGTTTACTAGTCTAATGTTTAATGCTCTTCTTAGGTTCCTAGAAGAAAAAGCAAGGATTTAGCAAAAGACGGGCCACGAAGTTATCGCGATCCTGATGATGAAGCTAAGAAATTGGATAGAGTAGCTTCTTCGCTTGATCAGAGAAAACATGATTCAGCATGCTCAGCAGGTGCTGTTACCAAGAGGGAGACGGACTATGGGCCACCAAAAGAAGTGCACTCTGTCATGAAGAGTATCCCTCCTGCCTCTACTGCAAGCAGTGGTCCATCTTCCTCCACTGAGGTTAATGAACAGAATTTGTCATCCACTCGCAACTCACCCCAAAATGCCTCTGACGATGATGTTGATACAGTGGGTCGTCATGCCCATCGCACTTTACCTGGTTGTTGCCTTTCTGAGTTGTTCAATCTTTTAGATATTATGTTTCAAAGCTTCCCTGAAATGGTTCCAACTTTGAAGTATTACTTTGGGAGATGTGTATTCTTACAGGCTTGCTTATTTATTTGTTTAATCATAGGCTTGCTTGCTGAGATCATGGGTAAGGGCAAGCGCATGACATATGAAGAACTCTGTAATGCAGTTCTGCCAGTATGGTTTCTTCTCTCCCGCAGTGTGTCTTCCTCCCTTGATTACTTTCTTTCTCTTGCTTGGAGAGAGAGATACTACTACTCATTTGTGTTCATTTATTGCTTTCCCTCTGCAGCACTGGCCTCACTTGAGGAAGCATAATGGAGAGCGGTATGCATATTCAAGTCACTCACAGGCTGTTCTTGATTGTCTGAGGAATCGAAATGAATGGGCTCGGTTGGTTGATCGTGGTCCCAAGGTATACCATTGAAACCTTTGATAATAGCTTTATTATGCATCAGCATCAGAGTTTGGTTGTGGCGCACCCCAATGCCATGTGTTGAAATGTGCACTGGTTACCTTTTAACCATATTAAACATTTTAACAATGCTTACCTTTTAACCATATTAAACATTTAACCACCCAGTTACATTTCAATCACAATAAGCATTTTAATCACTTACTTACATTTTAGCCATGGTAAAAAGAAAAAAGCCTGCTTTGTATGGGGGAACCCTACTTATGTCTATATGATACAGTTTTCTCTAGCTTGATTGTGACAAGCACCAGCAGAATGGCTGTTTTGTGGAAGCTATATATGAGGCCAAAGGTATTGTGGCAAAGTTGGTAAAATGCGGCAAGACATCTAATGGGTGGGGACCGTGGGGTGGGTTTTGGGGTTAGAGTCTTAATGCTATCCATCAATTAAAAAATGAGTAAACTACACATATGACTCTTAAACTATGAACCTTGTGTCAAGTGAGCCTTTCTGACCGCAAATCTAATGGAAAGTGGCGAAGTGTGTACACAAATGAGTCGCGGCCCGGTTACGTGATCGGCACACTCAACGAGAGAAGGGCGACTTAATTGACACAAGGGTCATAGTTAGAGCACCATAGGTGTAGTTTACTCTTAAAAAATTGAAGCTGATGCATGTGTACTAAGCAACGTGAGCGAATTGTGGACAGCTTACTTAGCAAGTCATAAATATTGGGAAACAATTCTACTGCCAATGATTATGTATGTACTACCTGCTCAAACTATATTATCCAGGAAACGTAGTCTACCCAGAAAAAAGAATGATATGCTCGTGTAGGTTTGTTAGTGCGAGTCCAGGACCATACTACGGTATACTTTTATCTGTTCCTGCGACGAATGTAGGTACCTCTGGTCCAGATTGGCTGGAATTGGTAGAGATGGATTTCATTCAGAACCAGTTTCAAGCTGTTAATTAATCATGCTAACATAGATGTTGAAATCAGTTTTTGATTCTACTGTCAAGGATTTTGTATATACTGCCTGCTTAAACTATATTATCCGGGAAACATAAGATTACCAAGAAAAAAAAAATGGTGCTGGTGAAGGTTTGTTAGTGCGAGTCCAGGACCATACTACAGTACACTTTTATCTGTTCCTGCGACGAATGTAGGTACCTCTGGTCTAGATTGGCTGGAACTGGTAGAGATGGCTTTCATTCAGAACCAATTTGAATTTTTTAATTAATCATGCTAACATAGATGTTGAAATCAGTTTTTAAGTCATGAAACCTAGGAAATCAATATTTGACGGAAACTGAACAAGAGAACAGAAAATTTTTCTGTTTTACATGCTGCCAGATCTTTACTCCAAATTACATAGGTTATAGAAACCAGTTTTTTTTTTGTTGTTTTTGTGTTACCAAAGAATGACCTTTTTATTCTTTCTGAAAGAGAGAATGGCCTGGCCTGTTATTTATAGGTCAGAGGAATAACAATCCCCCTCCCCCCC